CAGAATCACTTACACGGTACGGTCACTCAGAATCACTTACACGGTACGGTCACTCAGAATCACGAACGTCTGCAAATGAGACTGAATATTTGACCATACTTTTCTTTCCTTACTGGAAATCCACTTGTTTGTTTTCAGTTGCTGGTCGTGGTTTCGTGGTTCAYTCAGCAYMCAAAGGTGCGCCACGTCAGGGATGTGCTGATATCAATCCAAATACTACCCTATTCAAGGAGAAGACTTTGAACATTCTCAAACCCGCAGACCCTTTTTCACGGTGAGTGAGAGACGCGACACTTACAACAATAGAATGGCTTTCGTATAAGGAAACGTGCAGTATTGACTTTCAGCACCTACACGGTACGGTATGCTAAAAACATAAGAATGGTTGAACATATGGTACTGATTTACAGCACGTACAMGGTACGACATGCCGTAAAATTGAGATAAAATTGGTTATCGTAAGAGTGGGAAATGTACGGTACTGACTTGCAGCATGTGAGTTTTGTTGCTGTTTGGTTCATCCAATCACAACTAGTCACGATAACGGTAAAATACGGTACAGCTACCTTATATGCTGCTAAAGTAGGATCGTTTCCTACTCCAGCATTATTGCGTGCAACGATTTGCGTCGAGTGATATAGCTCGCAACATCGATTGCATTAATCGTGTGTGCGTAGCTTATACATAAGCCTACATACAGGCTATTTTTGTCAATTAAAGACAAAAAATCAAAATTGACGCTTAATTAATAATATTCAGGACTATATTAATACTCTACGCTGTTTTTCTAGAGCCGACTTCATCACCAAAATGGCGTCAGTCCTTAAGGCGGATAAGTGGAGAATATTCTACGTCAAGTATACCGCTGACCTCAAAGTRTCTAGCTCATCAAAGTGTTCGCGAATTTCGTTTGGCATCTTTGGTAAGAAAGCCATTAAATATTTGTGATTTTTTCTTTTTGATTTTTTTCTTGTCTAGTGGAATGTATRTCCTTTTTTTAGGGCAGGGACGTGGCTTATACCATTTGCGAAAGGAAACGTCTTTTGTTTAAATAAATAGAGAGAATTTCGTATGCGTGGTGRGACCAATGTGCACTTCATAGCATAGAATATGAAACATCCAATCCAATCCGAAGGGTATGGTACTATAACACCTAAATAATATTTATTGTTATAACACTTTTAAAAATGGCTTCCATTCTGAACCAATCAAAAA